CGATCGCCCTGGCAATTTCTAAGCCTGCGACCGAAGCAAATATCGTCTTGTGGTCTCTCTCGCCATCACCTCGTTATTTTCTCTCTCTTTCTCTCTTTTTATCTCTCTCTCTCTTTCTTTCTTTCACCCTCCATAACTTCAGTATCTTTTTTTCCCCTTCTCCCCTCTCGGTTCTCGACGTCTCTCACGTACTCGACGCCCCACGAAGCGGACACGAGCGAGCCAGCAGCTCTCTTACTCTTTCTTTCTCTTTCTGAACGTGTCTTGCTCTTCAGCAACGTTTTACGCCCTTCCACTACCCTTTCCAACCCTTCATCTTTCAAGAAAAAATCATTGAAAACAAAAAATTTTCCAAGAACCGAGTAACCACGAAGTATTTTACAAAGTGCAATATAATATTGCTTTTTAGGACATCTCGAAGTTATCTAAGTATTTATTAAATTAATAAGTATTTAGTGAATTTACTTCGCTATGTTATCAATTATTAATTTTGTTATTATTATTATTATTATTATTATTATTATTATTATTATTATTATTATTATTGTTATTTTATTATTATTATTATATGGAGATATTGGGAGTATTATAGTGTTCAACACTTATTATATTACATGTTATTTGTTTTACTATGAATATAATAATTAACACATTATTATCATACCAGAAATATATATATATATATATATATATATATATATATATATATACACTGAAACATTAATCAATTGATAATAAAATGAAAGGATTTATGGTCGAGTATTCGCTCGAAGGAATGATTTTAAGTAGCCATTTATGCATCCAGCAAACTCGAACTTTCGTTCAACCCTCTGATCTCGGTCTCAACACATTCACCCCCTACTTAACGCTTATTTCGTTTTCGTCGTTCGACCCTCGTCTACTCATCCCGTATCATCCCCTTATTCTTCGTCACCTAACCCCCTCCGAAAATCCTGACCAATCGCGTACAAGCCAGGGGGAATCCATTGTCGATCGGACCAATCGTCTTCTTATTCGTTGCACAAGCGATAGATATTCTCTGTCGTTTCCTTTTTCCTTCCATTATATATATATATCTCCCTTTCTCTCTCTCTCTCTCTCTCTACTTTTTTTTGTAATGAGAGAGAGAGAGAGGGGGGAGGGAGAGGGTGCAGTAGCATCGCTTTATGATGCATATCAATTTAGGCTAATGGCTAACACCGCTCGAAACGAACTTGCATCTGCAGCTTAATAAGAAACAACCCCCTTCTTTTATTTCCATTTCTCTCTCTCTCTCTCTCTCTCTCTCTTTCTCTCTCTGTCTTTTATTTTCTCTTTCTCTTTATACTCTTAGCTTAAAAAATTTATAAGAGAAGGATGGAAAAAGATAAAGAGAAAGAAAGAGAGAGAGAGAAAGAGAGAGAGAAATATTGATGAGAATAATTTTTCTAAGTAATTTTAATTTTCTATTTTCCTATTTTCCTTTTTCCTTTTCAATTACGTGACTGGAATAATGCTAAGAAAATATAGACATATTTCTTTCTCTCTCTCTCTCTCTCTCTCTCTCTCTCTCTCTTTCTTTCTATTTCTACGCTTGTCTTAAAAAATACGTAACAAAAGATTGATAATGAAAAAAAATTGATAGCGAAAAGTCGCGTAGTATTAATTTAATACGCGATCTTAATTTTTCTTAATTTTTCTTTACTTTTCTTTTCTTTTTTTTTTTTTGATTATTTCACCAATCGGATAACACGTACGTAGATAGGCACTTTTTCTTTTTTTTTTTCTTCTCCTTTTTTTTTTTTTTTTCTTTACATTTTTAAGCATTTAATGAGAGAAATATAAAGACGACGAATAATCGGTGAAAATAATTTTGATTAGGTATTATAACTAATTATTTTCTTTTTTCTTTTTTTTTTTCTTTTTTTTTCTCTTATATTGAGCTCGTTAGGAACATAAATACATTTTTTGTTTCTTTCTGTTTTTTTTTCTGTCTCTTTCTTTTTTTTTCTTTTTTTTTTTTTTATAAGGGATAAGCTTGCGATTAGAAGACAAATTTGATGAAGAGGACAAATTTGATGAAAAATGTTTTCTCTTCCTTCTATTATTTCCGATGACATATTTCCCCTCTCATATTTCAATTACAAAGCTAATATCATTTGTTACTCATAATGTATATACAAAAGCATGTATATATATATATATATATTTTTCTTTTTTTTTTAAATTCTCATCAGTATGATTGGCTGCATATATGTGTCGTATGGCGATGAAAATATTTTGCAACCAAGCAGCCAAAATATTTGTCCGTCAGCTTCGCGAAAGGACAATGAAAACAGAGGCGAGATCGAGCTTTGCGTCGCGGCGAGAAAGGACAATGGAAGAAAAAAGAAAAAAGAAAAAGAAAAAAAAAAAAGAAAAAAGGGGGATTTGAGAGCGCGCATGCATATATATATATATATATATGTATGTATGTACCTATAGACCAAGAATAGAAGAAAACAAAGCGTGAAATCGTGCGTACCGCGAGAAGTGCTTTTCTTTTTTTCTCTGTTTTTGTTTATTTTTTTCTCTCTTTTTTTTTTTCTTTTTTTTTTTTTTATTTCAAAAAATGTCCATTTGAACTTCTCGCGAGAGGGCTTTGAGAGGTATTTATTCCTTCACATCAATTTCGACCCAAGAGAGAGAGAGAGAGAGAGAGAGAGAGAGAGAGAGAGAGAGAGAGAGAGAGAGAAAGGGTGAGTCTTTTATACCTAATTGAAACGCGTTAAGAACCGATAACAATATTGATGTCAATAAAAATTAAAGAAATTGTCAAATAAATCATTTCTTTGACATTTTAAATATCAGCGAAATGTTATATTTTAATGAAACTTATCAATACCCGAGAAATTAAATTACTCTGGTATTAATAATTTAAATCCTTTTTTTTTCTTTTTAAAATACACATTTCATGTATAAACAATGTAATATATTTATATCTACGTAATACGTTTATATTACGATATTGCATATCCAATAAAATGTCAATTGGAATATCTAATATAATATAATATAATATAATATAATATAAGAAGATATAATAAATGTATACATAATATCTACGTCTAATATTGAATCGGTACGATGAATGAACGTCAAATTTATGTTAATTTTAAATAACATTAAATAGCCTTAAAGTGAATCAACTTTTTATCGCACGAAATTATTAATCTCTCAATAATGACGAAATAAAGATTATGATAAAAAACAAAAAAAAAAAGAATAAAAGAGAGAGAGAGAGAGAGAGAAAGGCGCCATTATGAACAACGAATATCCGCGATATTCGTATTTAAAAGTAAAGAAGGAAAAGAAGCAAAAAAAAAAGAAAAAAGAAAAAAGAAAAGAGAAAAAATATTAAAAAGAAAAAGAAAAGAAAAATAGAAAAAGGGAATGGGGAGGGAAACAATGAAAGAGAAAATTGTCTCTTTCACGTGTTTCTTCTTTCCATTTTGCTTTCTTTTCTTTTTCTTTTTCCTTTTTCCTTTTTTATTCCCTTCGTCTCGAGTATAACACCTACAGCGTGATTAATCGCGAACAATGAAAGAGGAGAAAGAAGCTTTTCGTCGTAAAGAAACTCTCTCTCTCTCTCTCTCTCTCTCTCTCTCTCTCTTTCGACGGCGGGCATCTTTCATCGATGAAAATTAATAGAGAGAACCTCGAGGCGTATCACGGAGTGTTGGAGTTTTTCGGTTGGTTGAGGGGTACTTTTTGAAAAAAAAAAAAAAAAGAAAAAAGAAAAGGGGGATGAGCAAAACATGGCGACTCTCATCATACCTAGGGATATATACCCACATGTATATATATACATATATATATATATATATATATATATATATATATATATATATGTGTCGTATTGTCCCTGAGAGTTAGCGACGGGGTGAGCGAATCAAGCTGAACGAGGGAGTTCGAGGGTTGAAGAAGGCGTTTGTTATAAATGACAAACGAAATTTAATCTCATCTATCCACGCGATATATCTACACCATGGATCCTGAATATCGAACGATTTTCAAATCATTTTTTAATACTCATTCTTTTACGAGTTATTTAACAAAAAATTGAAAGAAACAACAAAAAAAGAAAAAAGAAAAAAAAAAACGAAAGAAAAGGAAAAAAATCCTCGCGAAACTTTGAATTTTATTATCAGAAATAAAGTCGAATTGCAATTTTTTTTATCTATCTCTAACGTAATTTTTCATTGCACGTTGGAATCGATAATCGTGATTTAATTTTGTTGACGTCGATGAAAATAAAGAAAACGAAGATAGAAAGAAAGAGAGAGAGAGAGAGAGAGAGAGAGAGAGAGAGAGAAAGGATGCTTTAAGAAAAAAGAAAGAGAAAAGAGAATTAATTAATAGTAACTTTCCAGAAAGGAATTTTCCAGAGAACGAGAGAGAAAGAAGATCACCAGCCGGTTTCTTCTCTCATTCCAAAATCTTTCTCTCTTTCTCTTTTTCTTTCTCTTTCTTTCTCTTTCTCTGGCGTCTAGCCGTCGGCGGAGCGACCAATAAGAATATAGGTTTTGCCTCGTCTCGTATATAAATATGTAAATACAATGTTCAGGATTCTTGGGCATAAAACGTTAGAATATATAGCCTGGTAATTTCTTAATTGCGCTTGAAAAAAATTCTTGTCATCGTAAAGACCTACTTGATTACATTGAAACGAGCCTGAGGCGCCTAAGGCGTTCTCTGTTAGACCTGGTAAAAGATATTAAAGAGAGAAGAGAAGAGAAATAGTTGTAATACTAGTAGTACTATCTAGTAGTAGTAATAATAATAATAGTAGTAGTAGTAGTAGTAGTAGTAGTAATAGTAATAGTAATAGTAGGAAATTGTAGAAGAACAAATTTTTTTTTCTTTCGTCCCTACATGATTTATTCGTAAACGTAAGATAAAATTTCTTTATGAATGAGGTTAAAGCATTTTGACTTAGATATAGAATTTAAATAAAATGTGAAAAATGAATAACCACTGACCTGTATGGGTCCTCTTGTGTATCTTGAGATTTTCCGATCTGGCAAATACCTTTCCGCATCCAGGGAAAGGGCATGGAAATGGTTTTTCACCGGTGTGTACTCTTATGTGATTGACAAGCTTGTACTTTGCCTTGAATGCCCTACCGTTTCGTGAACAGCCTTGCCAGAAACAGGCGTGAGTCGTGCACTCGGGTCCTCCCACGTGTTCGACAGTAAGATGCGTTACGATGTCGTGTAACGAGTTGAATAATTTACCGCAAAGTTTTCTTCCTGGTCCTGGTGCATCCTGGTCGACCCACATACAAGACATCTCTTGTCTCTGTCCACCGTTTTGTACGACCCCAGTATTTGGACCACTCCCGGTACCTGTACCGTTGCTCCTCATGTACCTTAAAAATGCACCATGAGGATGGTGACTAGGATGACTAACTCCAGGATGTTGTTGATGATGTATAGACGCCGGTGTCAAATGTGGTGCACCTAAGTACTGATGATGAGGTGGTAGCCTAGAATCCTGTGGATAATGTCCAGGATAATGGCTGGCTGCTAACGGATGCTGTGCCGGGTGATGAGGAAATTGTTGCATAGTTGCCGCGGCAGTTCCATCGTGATGTAACGGCGTGAACAAACCCAAACCACTTTCCGGAGTAGTTGGATTCGCGGTTGCATTGAACTCATGTTCTCGGCGTAATAAAAAGTCACGAGCCGCGTATCCCGGATGATGGCTCATATGATGTCCCATATGAGGCGCCATGTGGGACGCCGGATGGGGATGATGGGGTGGATAACCCTGGGGATGGAAATGATGGTGTTGTTGGGACGGTGCTTCGCCGGCCGTCGGTTGGACACCACCGGGACCACCGTCCGCCGTCGAACCGGCACCACCACCGCTACCACCGCCTCCGCTCGGTGACAACTTTATCCCCAGGTTTGCCAGGTGATGAGGATGCGAGGAGACGCCATCGAGAAAGGCGTTCATCATCGTGATACTTAAACGGAGAACTTTCGCTATCCGATATATATATATATATATATATATATATATATATATATATATAGATTATATATGTAGAGAGAAAGGGACTATCGTCTGATCCGCCGGCTTATCATGTCCGCTTATATTTTCTAATCGAGCCTATTCTTATTATTTATTTGATTCAATCAAAATCTACAAAGGTAAAATCTATTATTAAAAACCGACATAAGTGTATATATTTGTTTATGTGTGCATGCATGCGTGTGCACACGCGCGCGCTCGCGCGCGCCTCCGTGCGTATACGCGTTCCTTTATCAAATTTTACTTTATTCGAATCTTCCAAGAGAAAATCATAAAATTTAAACACTTCTATCAAATAATTTTCTGTTCGTTCGTTCGTATCTAAATGTAAATAGATAGTCTTCCATGTTATTCTTCTTTTTTTCTCCCCAAAAGAAATCCGTCCTATCAAATATTCACTTTACACAATACAAATATATTTGTCCTTTGAGCTAATTCTTCTTCTTTTTCTTCTTCTTCTTCTTTCTTTTTTTTTTCTTCCTTCTTTTTTCTTTTTTTCTTTTCTTCCTTTTTCTTCCTCTTTTATTTTCTCACAAGCACAACAAATTTATTAAGTTATACACGACCGTACCGACCGTATTGGTTCTCACTGGAGTCCACTATAATTTGTTAATGTGCTTGATTAAAGAAAAATATCCAACGAGGACAACGCGTAATGAACACACTCGTATCCTGATGTATGAAATGAAACCATGAAAAATATACCGAACGAACGAACGAACGAACGTATGAACGAACGAACGAATGAACGAACGAACGAACGAACGAACGAACGGATAAGGTAAAGTGTCCGTAACGTTCCTTTCTACGCTCACAGCGGGACTGAGAGTATGGCCTGGGCTCCCGCCGTGGCAACTGAGGGGCAACTCGCTTGATTTCGGCGTCTCTCTTTCGTTGCTCCTCTACCCTTCTCTCTGTCACTCCGCATTCACCGTTTCTGAAATCCGCCTCCCCACCAGTACCACCACCACCGTCAGTACCAACCGGTTCAACCAACTAGAGAGTCTCCCGTACGACTAACCTGTGGTTATCCCCACTCTTAATAGGCGTGGTCTAATAACGATCAACCAGTTGAAGATGTACCGTTCACGGGTACCAGAGTATTATTGGTGACGTACCAACCAGACAGGATTGGAGACTATCCTCCAGTGTTACTCTCTCGCCAATCTCATTTATGTTAATGGGCGTGTCGAGATTTAAAGCGCATGCCTCTTATCCCGCCCCCCTTTTACGATTGATCACGCCCCATCGTCTTATCTTCTCAACGTGATACCACAGTCTATACATGGGACTTTTGGGCGTTAACTTTTTCTTTACTTTTCTCTTTTCTTTTCCTTCTTCCTTCCTTTCTTTTTCTTTATCTTTTTTCTTTTCTTTTTTTTTCTTTCCGATCTTCACACAGACATACGTAAGAGAACCAAATATAATCCTGAGTATCCAGACGTAAAACCATTCGTATTAGAATTCTATATTGGGCAAGCATAGATTATTATACCTGTAAAGGTTAGCTTTATATCGTTGTCATATAAACTTTCTCAACATAGTTAAAACGGGATAGAGATTAATTGTTTTGCTCTTATAACTTGTGAGATTATTAATCGTGGATAATTGAAAGGAACGAAAATTTTTTCGAGACTTTTCTTGACCCCCATCATTCTCTTTCTATCTCTTTGTTTGTGTATATATGTGCGAGAGAGAAAGAGAGAGAGAGAGAGAGAGAGAAAGAATTACCGGATATATTCGGGATAATAATTTTGTTGTTGGATAATACGGTCGGTGCAACGCCTAGATAGCTAATTAACCGTGTCCAGTCGAGAGTTACTCGATGTCATTGATCGATCGGTGTACAACTTTGGTTTGATGTCGACATTATTTAACACCCTTACAGGAGACCTCCGAGTGTACACATATTTACCTATCTACTGTGTTATCTCTATTTTTATGCCTCTCTATCCTCCACCCACTAACCCCCCGACCCGCCCCCCGCCACGCCCCCCATCCTTCCCATATCGAGCAATAAGACATTTTCTTAATATCCATGATGAAAATAATGTCAGAGATGGATAAATTACTTTCACTAGATTTCCAATAGATAAACATTTTATAATTATCGGTGGTTAATGTATCGCTGTAATAGAATCGTCATTAGTGGAAAATCATAGAAATTCTTATTAATAAATATTCAAGTAAATTTCCATTGGAGACGGTGGGAGGAGATAGGGGAGGGAAGACAATTGGTGGGAGGAGACAGGGGAGGGAGGATAATTGGGTTAGAGACAATAAGGATAGAGAAAACGGAGAAAAAATGAAAAAGAAAGTTTGACGAGGAAGCTTCAAATAAAAAAAAAAAATATATATATATCGGAGCATTCTGTTTCTCATTAAGGGACACAGAAAATTCTCAATGAATGCGTCGTAAAATTTTCAATCATTTAATTGTACTTTTGCACATGAGAACAATGAAATCCAGTCAAACCTTTCGTACATTATGAAACATTAGTAAGGGACAAGAAAAGATTTTACAGTTGCTTCGTGTAAATATTTCATAGTTGGATTAAATTCGTGGAAAATGGCATTTGGTTCGATTTAAAAAAAAAAAAAAAAAAAAAAATTGACTAGTATCCCTTTATATATTTATTTGATTATGGGGTACGGAAGTGTCGTTTATGAGGGGACGGAGTTAATAAAAAAGAAATGACAATGACATTCGTAGATTAATCGTAGATTAATTAAAAGATCAATCGACGAATCTATTCTATGGGCATTTAAATATGGGTTTTTAAATTGTCTTTATCCTTTAATTGATCGATTGATTGATCTCTTTAAAATTTATTTATTTAAATTTATTAATTTATTGATTTATTTATTATGGTATTTATTTATGGTTGCTAAAGACGAATGGTATAAAAAGCTCATGAGAACTTTCTCATGAGAGATTTTTCATTGAAAGCTAATATTATGAAGATATTTAATGAAAATTTAATTCTTCTCTTGTGGCTTTTTTTCTTTTTGTCATTATTTAATATAATATTTATATATCTATCTTTGTTTAACGTTAAATTTGATCATTGTCCAGAAAATAGATGTTATATATCAGGATATGTTTGATATTTTTCTTTTTTCATTTTTTTTTCTTTTTCAAATGTTTAATAACTAATTTGTCATCGATATCTCGAAACTACGATATAATAAAAAAAAGAGAGAGAGAGAGAGAGAGAGAGAAAGAGAAAGAGAGAGAAAGGAGAAAAGAAAAATTATTACTGTTATTTCTTCAGGAAGAAAGTAAAATCTTTCTATCTTTTTTTCTTCTTCTTTCTTCTTTTCTTTTCTTTTCTTTTTTTTTTTTTTTCTTTATTTTTGTGTTTTTATGAATGAAAAGTCGAAAGTAAAAGATCGCGGCAAGGTCGAATTGATCATGTATTAGTACATAATGATAGACAACGATTAACAATGATCGATGTACGGATAAAGTCGTACCAAATGAAGTTGCAATATCTTTTATCTATCTTACGATTATGATCTATAACTAGATGGTTAAATGCAGTCATATATTTATTCCTTCGACGATGAACGTTTAACGGTACTTGATAAATTTACGGTGGTTCTTTAATTACGTATACGTAAGTACTTACATAGATATATACAGACATACACACACATACACACACGCATATATATATATATATATATATATATATATATATATCGAAACCATAAGAGAGATTATCGAATCTGTTTTCGATCTTTGAACATAATTTAATGTAATCGTGTTCGTGTTCCTGTCGTAAATCGACTTATTAACAGCCGATTACGATACAAACATTTCGATGTCTCTCCATTCGAGATATATCGAATAAATCAATTTTTCTTTCAATTCCATTCCCCTTACACTCTTTCTCTCAATCATTATCTCTCTCTCTCTCTCTCTTTCTCTCTCTCTCTCTCTCTTCTTCTATCTCACTCATTCGTTCATTCATTCATTCATTCACCTTTTATTTGTCACGACGTCAACGGCATATACTACTTAACAGGTACGATCTTCGTTCGCAACTAATTAGGCGACGGTAATAAATGAAATGCCGATATAACGAGAATGATGAGTCGGGAAAACTGATAAGTTGTTGCGAATGTTAAATCCAGTGATATATGCCTATCCTGCTGTGAGATATTTTTAAAGGCTATCTTTAAAAAAAAAAAAAAAAAAAAGAAAAAAAAAAAATCACCTTTTCCGTGTCCTTTCACGTCCAACGTTTTTCTCCCATCCTCTTACGAAGCTGTCCCTCCTTCTCCCTTCACACTCCCATCCCACCTTCGTCCTCCTTCGTTACATTCGCCAACAATTTTTATATATACAAGTTGACACCTGTAAGTATGTATATGTAATTTTTCCTTTTTTTTAAACTTTCTTTTACCTTTTTTTTTTTTTTTTTTTTTTTTTTTATTACTTAATCGTATTTAACGTTTAACATTGGATTCATTAATGACGACTCCATTTTCGATACTTCTCTCTCCCTCCAATAACTTTTTCTTTTTTTTATTTTAATTTTATTCAAATACATTTAATGCTTAAACTTGTTAATCGATTAATCATTTGTTCATTAATATCCGATTTATTAGTATCGATCATTCTCTTTTTTATTTTTTTTTTTTATTACTTTTCTCTTTTGCAATCGAATTATTATACATAAATATTGATAAATATTTATCTTTACATATATACGTATATTTCTTGTTTCTCTTTTTTTTTTTTTTTTAATATCAAACCATATTATCCAATCAACCAATTCATCCAATTAATGTCGATTGATTAAACGTATCCATTTCTCTCTCTCTCTCTCTCTCTTATCCTTCTTATTAATTTATTTACCTATCTTCCATATCTTTATTTATTTATTTATTTATTTATTTATTTATTTTTTCTAATTTTTCTTTGTCTTGCAATCTCAACCGACTTGTAACTTATATGAGCAAGCTTAAGATTTAACAGGAAGCCAAGTCATTGTCACGAGAAAAAACGGCATCTCATTAGCTTTCATAATGGCGATGGTGGTCGACTATTCGATATTAATAACTCTCATAAAGGTGTCGGACTCACAGTCGTGGGCTACCTCGTAACGCTTTAATAAGAAGAGAAAGAGAGATACATACGTCCTATATTTCTCTCACTCTCCCTCTCTCTTTATCTCTCCCTCCCTCTCTCTCTCTCCCTCTCTCTCTCTCTCTTTATCTCTCTCTCTTTGTGAATGATGTTTTCCATCCACCTTATGTCGCTTACCGGGATCCGCGAGACATCGGACACATACAAATCTACGCTTATGCTACCTCGACGTGAACATATGCACTCGTAGTACTGGGTGTTCACGAATTAATTATTATTATTATTATTATTATTATTATTATTATTATTATTATTATTATTATTGTTATTGTTGTTGTTGTTGTTATTTTTTTTTCAACTTTTTATAAATTGAAATCAGAACGGCATGGTGACATTTTATATATATATATATATAAGAATATAATTTGATCGTTATCAATGCTTTCTACATAAGAATCTAATCATTAATTATCAATTTTAAATAACATTTTTAAAATTAAATGAACATATTCATAAACGTGATATATAAATAATTCTAATGATAAATTATGATAATAGTATAGATTAAAAATGAATAAAATCTATAATAGTTCGTCGTATTAATACTTAGACAAATATAAATTATTAACAATAGTAATAATGAAAGATTATAAAATTATCGAAGAAATTTTTAATCGTCCAATGTAGAAAATGATTTTCTTAAGGAATCAAGAGAAATGATCGAATATTATCCAAGGACGGACGTTTACTTAAACGTTTACTTATTATATATTTATGTTTTAT